ATGGATAGTTGGGGTCGGTCTGAAGGGGAGTGGCTTAGCTTGACCCTGGATTCAGAGGGACAGGAGGTGAAAAGGGGTGGACGAGGGTTGCGTAGAGTCACCTGAAATGACAGCTGTCAGAGGGGGAGAGCAGATTTTAAAGGCTTAGCGGAACGCTATGATAGGCTTGTGAGAATAGAGCGAAGCAATTGGTTAGCTGGGGAGTGACGCCCCCGATCACTTATCGAGGGGAGAGAGAGTAGTAACATAGGAATAGAAAGACTGTCTTCCTGGTTGAACTTGCGCTGAGCTTCATTTCAAGTTATAAATTACCTGTGACTTTCATTCTATTTATCTTTGACAAATCAAATGTATTAATCCAAATTAAACCTACAGGCAATACATGCAAACAGCCTCAACATTTGACGTGTTGTAAAAAAATATACAACTAAACAATATTTCAAGTGGGATCATTGTCTGCCACAAGCTCTTTTGTACAATGTATCTTTTGTTGTAGGTGGACAGCATAAATGACATGTTTGAGGCAGAGAAAGACAAACCACCAACCCTTCTTAGGAATGAGCCCCCAGTGGCGAGGGCCATCCGATGGGCTCAGTCTCTGGTTTATCCCATCAAACAAACCCTCCTTCCCTTCCTCAAAGAGCCCCAGATGCTGGAGTGTGAAAATATCAAAGTGGTGAGTTGTACGGCTGTATAGTTCTGTGTATATCATATATTTTTGTAGGCACCTAAATTCTATTTGAAGCCTTCATGTGACTGTTGCTGTATTCTGCTTAGGCCAAAGACAAGTATGCGGAAATGGCAGTGAAGATCCGAGACTATAAAGTGAAGAAGTTTGAGCAATGGACTGCCGAGACACAACGTAACCTGCCAATGCTAATGAATAACACCCTGTTGGTCGTGAGTGCCGATGAAAACCAAGTCGAGGCAAAGCTGGTATGTTTCTCTTAGGGCTGTGCAAATAATCGTATTTTAATATCGATTACGATTTTCGCTTGCAACGATTACGAAAACAACGTAATCGAAATAAAAC